CATGAAAATGCCCTCGATTGTTTAAATACATAATATGGTTTAGACGACAGATCTATAACTAAGGGTAATTTAGAAAATCAATTAGACAGCCAGTGAATGCTTACCATTTGAGGTAAGACTATGTTTCTGTTCCCTGTGACAGACAGGAAGGCATTCTTAGTTTCATGATTGGAAAAAGTTTCCATTTTGTAATGGAGTACTACCGTTGTATGACTCTGTCGGGAGGTGTTCACATTTTACGCCTAAATACCCACTGGTTATAATCTTTCATGCAAATTTAAGAACTAGTCTTTAAAAATGACAACGAACTGAGAAAGTAGGCAGGGATCTAGTCGACGACCTTCAGGTTACAAGTCGAGATGGCTGACCATTCAACCGATAGGATAAGGTTAAATGACCGATTTATTTAAACTACTGCCAACTCCCTTTCTAGTTTACTACCTCGCTAGTTTTTTAGCCGGTAGAAGCTTGAGAAAAAAGTGAGAGTTGGACGTGGGGTTAGCGACCCTGCTTCAGAAAATCAAACTGCTACCGAAACTTCAGCTCACAAGAAAAATATTAGAAATACAAAAAAAATATGAAAAATAGACTGAATTTTGGTGGAATCAGGGAGAAGAAATGATGTGGGCCAGTCAGCCGATATATCTTCTTCGGATGTTAGGGAAAATAAGAATGGGGATGTGGAATGCAGCAGACTATGGAGGGCGAGAAGATAAGAATACTCTGGACCAGTTGGAAGACTCTAGAAGATCTATATTTCACAGAATGTCATGCGAAGTCAGAAGAAGAACCAGGAGGCGAAGGTAGGACTTCAAGTAAAGGCAGAGAAGACGGAGGTGTTGGTGATAACCAACCACCATTAACAACAAACAACAATCACCATGAGCTGTTGAACTTTGTTGGGGGGTACTTCCTCACCTATCTAAAAAACTTCACTACACACTACAGGCACACTAAATAGATGAGAAAGTTGAAACCAGAATAAAAAAAAATCAATGCAGGCCTTCATCACTCTCAAATCAGTTAAGATAAAATTCTTCACTAAGCAGAAATAACACGATCTGGATCTTTAACACAGATGTTAAATCAGCCACTTCTTCTATATGGGTGAGCAACTTAGCGTTCATGACACTAAAAGCATTTCTAACAGCCAACTGCAGACTTTTATCAGCAGCTGTCTTCCCTGGCTGCATAGTGATCGTCAAAATGCCAACCAGAGAGAATTGACAACAAGAAACCATAGGAAAAAACCAAACAAGAACCTATTGACCAAAAAATATCTGAAAGAAAATTGAGATAGAATGGGCACACGCTGAGGAGACCGGCAAACGTTATTGTGCTGTAGGTAGTCGCTCGATTGGGACCTAATCGGGAAACGGCGATATGTCCACCGGTTACATGAAGTAGATCAAAGACTACAAGCATTTATTATTATATCCTTTAATTCCTAGAGGAACATAGGGCCTCAGCTGCGCGTCTCCGTTGCCTTCGGTTCTTCACCAACGTTTTCACCCCACTCCAAGTCTGCCCACATGCATTCACCTCCTCTTCACATGACCTCCTCCTCCAAGTCACCCTCGCACTGACGACAAACTCGCCGCTTCCCTTTCGTGTTCCACTCAAGAGCCTGCTTAGTGATGTCAATTGATGGTTTCCTCATAGCATGACCAACCAATCCATCTCCATTTCTTCCTGCTTATCTGTTGCACAATCGGTTCCTGGTTGGTTCTCTCCCAGAGATCATTCACTGTTGTTCATTTTTTCCGGCCGGTCATCTGATCTTGAGTATTGAGCGAAGACAACTGTTAATGAAGGTCTGTAGTTTGTTTGAGTTGCTCTTTATGACGCGTATAGTAGCACTGAGTGCTGTTGACCTTCACACAGACTTAGGAGTAATGAAAGCTTGTCTTGCTTTTCCGATTCTGGCTTTGATATCCTCGTCAGTTCCGTCCGCCTGTAGTTGAAACGATGCTTCCCAGGTAGGTAAAGGAGGTTGTTTCTTTCAGGTTCCTCCCATTTATGCTGGCTGACTGTTGTCTGTTGTTGTTGTTTCGGCTGTTGCTGTTGGCCAAGAATCTTCATCACCACCTCCGTTTTCTCTATGTTCACTTGAAGTCCTATCTTTGATGCTTCTTCCTTTCTCGACTTTTTGCTTTTCACTTGCATATCTTCCAGTTTGTGGGAAATCAGACATATATCATCGGCGAAGTCCAGATCCTCCAAGCTCTATTTTTGTGTTGGACCATTTTATGCCTGTTTCCTCATTGCCTGCTCTCTGTCTGTCGCATTATCCAATCTACTGCAATCAGGAAAATCATTGGCGATAGTAGACAGCCTTGCCTCACTCCCTTCCTCACTTCGAAGGATTCCGTAAGTTTTCCGTTGTGGATTACTTGGCATGCAGCATTGTCGTATAACTGTTGGATGAGATGTATAATTGTCGATAGGACCCCGTAGTAGCGAAGTGGTTGCCAAATCACCTCTCGATCGACGCTGTCTGTCGAAGGCCTTTTCAGAGTCGATGAAGTTGAGATAGAGAGGTGACTGCCATTCCAAGCTTTGTTCAATGATGATCGTAGTGTGGCGATTTGATCAATACATGACTTGTTTCTCCTGAATCCAGCCTGTTCCAGTCGGAGTTTTGCATCCAGGTTGGCTTGTTTGATTCTCTTCAGGATGATGCGGCTTGGTATGTTGCTTGGAATGGACAGAAGCATAATTCCACGCCTGTTTTTGCATTGACTTAAGTCTCCTTTCTTTGGTAGTTTGAATAAGTATCCTTTCTTCCAATCCTCAGGTACTTTTCCCTCTTTCCACACCTTCTCCAACAGTGGCGTCATCAACTCCGCTGTTGTCTCTGAGTCTATTTTCAATGCTTTTACTGGGATTCCATCAGGTCCTGCTGCTTTCCCAGCTTTTAGCATCTTGATTGCATTCAGGGCTTTTGATTTCGTCGGGGGGTCGATGTTCACTGGTAGATCTGCTTCCGTTTTTGGTATTGTTGGGCGCGTTGTAGGTGGCGGTCGATTTGGAAGTCTTTTGAGGTGTTCAGCCCAGTGTTTTCTTTGCTCCACCTCTTTGGTGATTGACTTTCCATTGTCATCCTTTACTGGCTTAATCTGTGTCGAACTTTGGCCGATAGGTGCCTAGTTGTTTGGTAGAGTGTGGCGGGGTCTCCTTTGCCTGCAGCTTGTTCTGCTTCGTTTGGCATGGTTTCATAATATTTTCTTTTGTCTTCCCTGGCACTCTTCTTTACTTTTTTGTTCAGCGTATTGTAGCTTGCATTCAACTCCTGTTTTTGTTGCTCGTCGGTGCACTGGATAATCTTTTGTTTCACTGTCCTTCTCTCTTCTATTAGTTTCCAAGTGTCCGCAGTAAGCCACTGTTTGTCCTGCCTCTTCTTTCTGCCTAGAACTTCCATGCAGGTTTGACTGCACACCGTTCTCAAGCATTCATGGAACCAACTAGACAGGACATCGGACAATAGGACATAGTGACGATATATTGGTGAAGCCCTATATTGCATTCTGAGCTCCAGGGAAAAATATGATACTGCCGTTTCTCCATATAGTAATCAGTGTGTAAATACCATCCAATCATTAGTGTGTCTTTTGTACAAGGTTTCCGTAGACAAACAATGTTTTGGTTTCAGTATATACAGGAATCTTTTTTTTATATTTTTATTTTTGATTACAGCTTGATTCCACACCGTATTTTTGGTACAAGTGTGGAATTTTCAGCGTGGATATCGATAGCCCAAAATTGGCAGGCCGACCATAGATATCAGGTGTGCGTCGGCGTGGGCTCGAACCCTGGACCATGTGCATGGTCGGCGAGAGTCCTAACCACTGTACCACCGACGCACAGTTAAGGTGTGTTAGTCGTGCAAGTCCGAGAATCTCATGTGATCCCTTGTAATCACTAAATAATCATAGGTGATGAATATTCGCTAAAGAATTATTGATTGTCAAAGTTAAATGGCTTATTGAGTACTGCTCAAATTGACAGGTGGTGCATGATTTGATTTTCAAAACGGATATCAGAATGGATTTAGGTTCATTTGATTGACATTGTTCAAAACACAAGATTTATATATGATGGAGATGATTTGTAGCTCAGATGGATGATTTTGATGTGGTTGTGTTCTCTCAACTGGATAGTTCATTTGAGAAGCTTTCATCGCCATACTAGGCGAAATCTTCAGCGCATACTTCAGTTCGTTGAAGTGAGCTTCTTAGATTTCTCCACGAGTTCGCTATTAGTCATCTCTCCTGGGTGACCTTCAACGTGATTTGTTGTTCTTGTATATTTTTACACCTTCCAGGCTGCTTTAATTGGTACTGATTGTTTCTTTGACTTAAACTTTGTAACAACTGCGAAAAACATTACATTCTGCAAAGTGGACAACGTCCTCTTCGTCTCCGTATTCCAAGAACATAAACTAGTGGTCAAAAGACATGACAATTACTCCCTCGCTCATATCGCCTTACTCCATACAGACAACCACGGACATCAATTCCACTGGGACAACAAGCGTTTAAATATTAAACAGAGGAAACAACTAGAATGCAAGAGAATTTCAGAAGCCTGTCTGGTATTCCAGTAAATCGTTTATCTATAAACACATCGACATAGACAAAATTTACCAATCGATAAGAAGGAAATCTCACACACACAAAGGTTCACAGTTCAGGTCAAGAATTTTATTCAACAGCAATACCAATACAAGTAACCTAGAGGGTGTGGAAACAAAAAATCAACCAATAACGTCTAGAGTTACCAGTAGAGATGATTAATAACCTCGTGGAGAAATATAAAAGCTGATTTCAACGAAATGAAGTATGCGCTGAAGGAAGATGTTGCCTAGTAGTGCAAAGAAAGCTTCGCAAATTAACTATCCAGCTAGCTCAGCGAACACACCCACATCAGAAGATTGTTCAAAAACAGGATTGAACTCGTGTATTGAGCTTTAATGTTAGATTTAATTTTTTTGTTTAAAGGTTATTCTACTGGATTCAGACATGCTGTTCAATGATGATATAGTAAATCTTTGGAATTTATTCAATGAATTCGATGAAGATCAGGTAGGTTTATTTTATCTATAGCATGTAAGCTTTTTTTCATTGTCTTATTATTATGAAATCTCCATTTCACTTGATTCCTTGCGGTTACTTTTAGCTGATTCCGCGCCTATCAAGAAGGTTACACTGCCTTCACATTTGTTCTTCTCTGTATCACTGTCAAAAGTTCAACAGGCTGCTTCCCAACCGGTTTCCATCCAAATTGTGTGTGTGACGTCACTTCATAGTCTTGTCAGTGTACATCGAGTCCGTCTCAGTTTCCTTCAACGTTTTTATTGGGTGACAAGATTTTGGCTTGTTCGCTTCCAGATATCCTGTCTGCTTATCTTTTATGGATATCCATCATATCTTCAGTATCAACAGAAGAGGGAAAGGTAGCTGTTGATAAAGGTCTGTAGTCTGTTGGAGATGATTCTCCCCTGACACATGCAGCAGGTCTCTGAACCATACGGTTGCATTGATTTAACATCGATTGAGGTGGTTAGCACATTTCTTACTCATGCCCAGCCATCGCTTTCTTCGATGAGCAGTGTTAGTTGCCAAGATAGGATCCAGGTGGAAAAGAGCTAGCTAGTGATGGTCAAACCAAAACATAGGCTCGTCAGTCAATCAAATCCGCAACATGTCATAAATTGGCAGAAGTTAGAATTCATGGGCTGGACATTGGATCGGGTCCCAGTGGCTTAATTGCCTGCAGGCTAGCTTGCCTTGCAACCAGAAGGTCCTGGGTTCGAACCGCGATTGGTGCGTACTAATGAAGAGTCCCAAAATATGACGAAACAGCTGTACAGTACGAATACTTCAAATCCACAACAGTTAGTTTAAGCCAGCCACTTAGGGAGGTGTGAACTTCCTGACTGGTTGGGGTCATTGGGATGGTTAGGACCAGTGAAAGCTGGAGACAGTCGGTGATATGGCTCACCCAAAATCATCGTTCTCAACGGCTGGTGCAGTTGAATCCACTCCTTGTGAATTATCATATCCAATAAAACTCTTTTGTTCTTCCAGATTACTATTCTTTTTGCCTCATTCATACTTCTGTTTATTATCTCTCTTTTGCAGTTCTACTCTCTTTTACTTTGTGAGATACATGGATGGAGTGTGGCAACTTGAATTGGTGCACATCTGTGCAAAGTTTTGAGTTGAAACCAGTCAATCAGTTAGTCACTAATTTAACATTAGTAGTGATCACCCGGATCTTATTTCTTGTTAGGAGTGCTGTTGATCTCCAAGATGAATAGATATTTTCCCTTCTCGACCTTGACTAACTTTAACATCTTCATCCGTATAGCCGCCTGCATTTGAAATGCTGCTGTCAATGTGACTGAAAGGGATAACTTTCTTTAGACGTCTTCTACTGATGATTCGTTTAATTTGTAGTTCTATGTTTGCGCCTGAATTTTAATCATCTCTGTACCAGTCACCTTATTGTCAGTTTTGTCTTGTATATCTCCGAGTTTGTGGTACATAAGACATAGGTCATCCTCCAGGTTCGTCCATTGTATTCTCGTCTTCTCAGTCCTTATTGTCCACTGCATGATTCAATTTAAGAACTGCCTTACCGGAGGATTATATTTTTGAGTAGATGTTTACTGAAAAGATATCACTGGGCAACAGCGGAATAATTTTCAGTAGTTCTGTGTTCGCTCTGATTGAATAAGAAGAAAACTGACTCAATATATGTTCTTATTAGATGGCTATCCCTTGCTGAATACAGATTTTGAGACATTTCTAAAGTGCCATCCTTAATTCTGGTTCGTGTGAAATCTGTTTGAATAATGCCGACACGGAACGGACAATTTATTAACATTCAAAGTTGTGTGTCTCTAAGCAGAAAAAGAAACCGAATATACTCGCTTACCTCGAGGATTGACCCTGATTGAAAATGGATTCTCACCCAGATTCAAAGACAAGAATCTAAAACCAGGGAAAACACCTGAAAATGTCCAAGTTGCCCCCCCCCAATAAATGCAAAAAAATTGAACCTCGAATCTAAAAGTGATACCAAAGCAGAAATTCTCCGTAGACACCTTACGAAGTCTTTCAGTAAAACGTGATTCACCACCAGCCTATGAATAATATTCTCTGCAAGGAACTACTCACTCAACAAGTGAAAGACAAACTGTCGCATTAGGCCACTTCACTTGCTCCTGCCGAGCTGAGTACATTGGCCGTGTCGTGCGTCCACTTGTAAAATGTGCGCGTGAGCACTATCCAGCATGGTGAGCAAAAGGGAGAACTCAAAAGAGTATACAGTTCGATAACAGAACATCTGGTGAATTATGGACATTCAGTCCCGTTTCAAAAGTCTTTCAAAGCCATAGATCTGATCCAACCTACGAAAGGGAGTAAAACCAAGACAACTAGGAATAGCTGAAGTGCTGGCGATCCAGAAACTCAATCCTTCTCTTTGTATCCGGAAGAAATACGTTCAACCGTTGTCCTTACCGTTGCTATCATGAAAAGTCAGTTTCACCAATAATGATTATCCTATTACCTTTCTTGTCCAACCTTGACATTTATTTATGTCATATTGACCTTTATGAATCCCTATCTGCATTATCAGATGTGATTACTGTTTTTGTCTTTATATGTCCAAATCTCCTACCCATTTTGTTAATGCGTTACGTCCTCAACCCGTAATTATGCAAACTGACGAGTTATCCAGGAATTAAAATCCTATTTTGTCTTTTCTACGTGGTCTTCCTGATTATTACACATAGGGATTTTAATTTGACCTTTGACCTGAAATATTTCTAGAATAGTGACACTAGCTACCTATCTTCTGTTTATTGCACTTAGTAATTTTTATTAATCTGACCTCTGACTGGAAATAATTCTGGATCGTTTCTCGCAAGAATCTACTTCATAGAATAATCCAGATGTTCCAAGTATTGTTCTACATTCGCTGATTACGCAATTCTGGATAACAAAATTTAACTACGGGTTTCTTACGAATACTGTAGAAAATATTCATACCACAATATATAAATATATATATGTGTGGTGTGTTCGTCAACATAAAAAGCGGTGGAGAAGGCGAACAATATGACAAAATGGTGTATGCAATTGATTGATATGTAGACAGAAAGGATTATTTAAAGAAAATTGAATGACATACTGTCAGGTGAAAATAAATTCTTTCAATCAACCAATGAAAGAAACAAAAAACAAAAAGAACAGATTGAAAACACAACTCACTTATGTTCTCAAACAAATTGAAAACCAAGTAGTCAGTCAGCCATGAAATTCATGATCACATTCGACTATTATTATTATTATTGTTTCATCGAAGAAGACATTGCAAAGTGGTCGCGCTATGTCGTGAATTAGCAGAAGTTAGAATTCATGGACCATTGGATCGGGTCCCAGTGGCTCAATGGTCTACGAGCTCGCCTTATAACCAGAAGGTCCTCGATTCGAACCCTGGCGGTGGGTGCGTACTGATGAAGAGTCTCAAACTAGGACGAAACAGCTGTCCAGTACTCCCAGCCGGTTTTCCAGTGGTTCTCTAACTGATGTCAGCTTATGGTGAAATCATCCATATTATTGTTTCCTTTAGCCCCTAGAGGAAAAAAGGGCTTCAGACGCACGTCTCCATTGCGTCAGGTTCTACCCCTACGATTTCACCTGGCTTCACGTCTGCCTACATGATTTTATCTCCTCTTCTCATCACCTATTCCTCCCACATGTCATTCTTGCACTGACCACCAACTCGCCGACTCCCATTCCATTGGGATTCCACGCAGTCAATGGCCTGGTGTAAGATGTCACTCACTTGATGGCTTTTTTTGAGTTTGGCCAGTCAGTCCACCTCCTTTTCTTCCTGCATATTTGGTGCACAATCGGTGCCTGATGGGTTGTTTTGTAGGTCCAACGCCAGAGATCTCTCCCTGTTACTGATATTTTCTGGCCAGCCATCTGATCTTGAGCAGTATTGAGAGAAGACAGCTACCTATTGATGAAGGTGTGTAGTTTGTTCGAAGTGGACATCGTGACCTGGCGCGGTGTCAATTCTCTGATCCGTATAGTAGCACTGACTGACTTCACATTCGAGTTGAGTATCCGGATCTTATTTTCATTTTCATGCTAGGCGATAAGAGTTGATCGCCACATAGACTTGAGACTAATGGAAACTTCCCTTGCTTTCCTGATTCTCGTTTCGATATCCTTATCAGTTCCGTCCACCCGTAGTTGAAACGAATCTTCGCAGGAAAGTAGGTGAAGGAGGCTACTTCTTCCAGATTTCTCCCATTTATGCTGGCTGATTGTTGTCTGTTGTTGCTCCTGTTGCTGTTTGCCATGAATATTCATCACCTCTGTCTCCACTTTCTGTATGTTCACCTGAAGGAAGTCCTATCTTCTCCGGATGCTTCTTCTGCCAACTTGTTACGTTTCCCTTGCACATCTTCTAGATTGTAACATTCGGCTAACAGGATCAGTAATACCAAGACTACATAGTTAACCAGCGATACACAATGCCGATCTCCCACTGCATCCTAATGTAGTCATATCAGATATCCCATAGTATTCATTTGAGAAATGTTAAGCTGATATTTTAGAATCTGTAAGGAAACAGATGTGCTACTATTCGCCTCGTATGACACCCTTCGGTTCATTGACCGTAAACTCTTTCTGTCTCTTGGCATTGAATCACTGATGACTGACGTTTCACTCAAGAAAACAATCTGTTGGAACATCAGATTACCAACAGCTTACTTTAAGGAACTACTACTTAGATACACTCTTATATGCAATTCAGGTTTAATGACATAATTTAACGACAAAAAGATGGGAATTTAAGTAGGATCTCCCCTGGGTCCATTGCTAGCAGACTATTTTATTAAAAGCCTTAAGAATGACCCACTTAAGTCAACTTTTGATCATTTTTAACTGTTGCTAGATATGTGGATGACATCTTTATTGCCTGTGATGATAGTGAATATCTTAATCAATTCTTAGAAATATTCAACAACTGTTGTCATGTAGCCACAAAGTTTACT